CTGAAGTAGACTAATTCAGTGCAGTGTCTTTCATGTGGTAAGGTTGCCGAGGGCAGCTTTCCCTTCACCTCTGGATTCTTTTCTCCTTCTGGTGGAATACTAAGGCCGATGGGACAATGCTCTGAGGTAGATTTATTGCATCAAAGTGACGTGATAAACAGACCACCAGTAGATCAATCGCTGCAGGATTGCCCCACTGTGTAGTGTAGACTAATTCAGTGCAGTGTCTTTCATGTGGTAAGGTTGCCGAGGGCAGCTTTCCCTTCACCTCTGGATTCTTTTCTCCTTCTGGTGGAATACTAAGGCCGATGGGACAATGCTCTGAGGTAGATTTATTGCATCAAAGTGACGTGATAAACAGACCACCAGTAGATCAATCGCTGCAGGATTGCCCCACTGTGTAGTGAAGATATACCCTCAGTGTAAGATCTTGCATACCAGCCTTAGAAATTTACTGAGGCAACTGATCATCATTAACTTGATTCTGGTTTTTCATTTCCTGGGGCAGAATTTGCTAAATGAAATGCTATTTTAGCAATTGTTTTCTTTGCATTTAAGTTTCTGGATCTTTTGCACACTGGCTGTGTCTAGACTAGCAGGTTTTTCCACACAATCATCTGATTTTGCGGAAAAACTTGCCAGCTGTCTACACTGGCCGCTTGAATTTCCGCAAGAACACTGATTTCATGTAAGATCGTCAGTGTTCTTGTGGAAATACTGTGCTGCTCCCATTCGGGCAAAAGCCCTCTTGCGCAAATCATTTGCGCAAGAGGGCCAGTGTAAACAGCACAGTACTGTTTTCCGCAAAAAAGCCCCGATCGCGAAAATGGTGATCGGGGCTTTTTTGCGGAAAACTGCGTCTAGATTGGCCACGGATGCTTTTCCCGCAAAAAGTGCTTTTGGGGAAAAGGGTCCTGCCAATCTAGACACGATTTTTCTGAAAATGCTTTTAACGGAAAACTTTTCCGTTAAAAGCATTTCCGGAAAATCATGCCAGTGTAAAACGTAGCCACTTTGTAAAGCTATTACCTTTAAGACTAGCCGGTAAAACAGCTGATGCTTAATGCAACAATATTTCATTGTAAATACCATGAAGAAAATTCACAATGCATACTTGAATTGCGGGAGGAAAAAAAAAAAACCTTGAATCTTTGGCATGTGTCTCCAGGAATCTTTTATTTACATTGTTCCCTAGAATTTTGTGTCCTTGGCCTTCTGTTGCATTAAATTTTTTTTTTTTTTTTGGCTGTTGTGTTGACCCCATCTGGACATAGTGAATCAGCACCGACCCCATTGCCAAACATGGAGGAGGCACTGAAGCATTGTCAGCAGGATTTCATTAAAACTGGGATTTTATTAATTTATCTTACTCTCTGCCAGCTCTCTCTCAAGCAATAGAGGAAAACGGACTTCTGTACAATTTACAGCTACTATAAATGCCTGCTTTCTAGTCTGGGCATATGTTTTAGTTGAAAGTCTGTGTGTAAATTATTCAGGAGATCTTTCTTAATACTGATACTGTTCACATGCTCTTTCATGTTTAAATATAACTTCTCTCTGTAACTGAGAACCTTTGCCCATCATTGAGCGAAGAGAGAACATATATTTCACTTAAGTGAAATTATGTTAAAGTTCAGGCTAAGGTGAAATGCGCATAAATGACTTTGCATCCTAAATTGAAATGGTTTCCAGAGAGAGTTGGGCTGAAGTCAGGACTGTAATATTGGGCCCTGTGCTCTAATAACATTTACCAGCCACTTATCAGCCTCTTATTATCAGTGCCTATTTTCACTACAAAGTCATTTTAAATTGAAGGTGAATAAACCAGTTCAGATGTAATGCCCCTTTTCTTCTTGTCTCCTGATCTAAGCAAATCTAGAGCCAGTGTTCTTTTAAAATGTGTGGTGATTCCTCCAGCTTATTAATTTTCATATTCATTGTGTACTTCTGCCCTTCCAAGTTTCAACTCTGGAAATACCTGACACTCTCAAAAGACCGCGTTCTTAGGAGACTTGCAAAGCCTAACGTTGTGGAGCCAAGAAATTCATATAGGTATCTGAATTGACTAAGGCTTGTCCATCAGGACATAGCAGGCAAAGACCTTGAATTATTTCTCACTTGGGATCCTTTTGAGGGAGGAAGGTCCCATGGCTGCCTCACCCCAATTTTAACTGCCAAAGCACCACAGATTTAGGAGCTCTCCTAGAGCAATATGTTCTCCCTTTTATCATCGCTAAAGAACAGCAGGACAATTTTTATTCCAAGTCTAGAAGCCTCCAGGCCGATTGAGCTTATAGATGAAACACGTATCAAGGCACCTCTTCATTGTTACATTACAAAAATGCATATTTGTACCCCACTATCCGAATGATCGTGACATTCCAGTGTGTACTAGCAAAGCATCCAATCAGAAGCTTCTGTGTCTCTTCCTGACACCTTCAGATGCATTTGGGGATAATTGTATAAAACCTGGCGTTGAAGTAGCTAGGTTTTAGAATGACACTTTTATCTGTTTTTGCTGTAAATGTTTCTCTTTACACCATGCTTCTTAAAATACAGCTGTTCAGTTAAAGCACTTCCCTTCTGAACCTTCCAGGACATCTCTCCCTAGAGCCCATTCCTTTCTTGCATCATCCTTCCCGGCTGGATCCAGCCAACGGGACCTCAGCAAGCAGTGTTCTGCTGTTTGTCACTCAGCAATTGGTACAAAGAACTGATGGTGGGCCTCGACACTATGGGAGTAAAGACTTCAAGGAAAATACATGTGATAAATGATCTGATGCAGTACAACTTTCCTCTGTTACGTTAAAGGAATTAGTGAATCCTTTAGTGTTTTAAAAAACAACAACAATTAACCAATTGTCAACCTCAAACTATATTTAAATAAATTAAATATGGATCTTGGGCCTGATGCATAGAAATGACAAGCAATTGCTACTGAAACCAAAGGGAGCAAGCCACTGATTTACTCAAGGCTGCATGGGATTTGTGTATCCCCAATGACCTGAGTTGATGTAGTTTTGAGGTAGGGTTGCCAGATGGTTTCAACAAAAATACCGGACACACTTGACATTACATCACAATCTACATTACATCTTACTTAGTAAATATCGGACATTTATATTTTCTCATTTATATGTTCTCAATGTGTTTCCCGAATAAAAAGCTCAAATACTGGACTGTCTGGTTCAAAACTGGACATCTGGCAACCTTAGCTATAGCTCAGAATCAAGCGGATGACAGACAAACTACCATGCAACCAATTCAGGGACGTAAGTTGTGTGGGGATTTTTTTCTCCACAGGTTAATCCACTGGCTTTCCACTAAAATGTTAGTGAGGCCAAAATCACACTATGGAGAATAAAAAATCAGAGCTGATTAATAACACAGTTGGCTTCCAGAAATATTCTGAGAATCCCAGATTCATATCAAGCGGATGACAGACAAACTACCATGCAACCAATTCAGGGACGTAAGTTGTGTGGGGATTTTTTTCTCCACAGGTTAATCCACTGGCTTTCCACTAAAATGTTAGTGAGGCCAAAATCACACTATGGAGAATAAAAAATCAGAGCTGATTAATAACACAGTTGGCTTCCAGAAATATTCTGAGAATCCCAGATTCATGCACAATTTTTGTCACTCTAAGAAAGTGGCCATTTGGGGATTTTGTTTTTACCAGAAACTATTGCCAAGCAACTGGTCCTTGACAAAATACCTTCTTAGATATTATTTGGTGGCATGTATGAAATAAAACACTGATCTAGAGAACCATTACAATCAGACATTGAAGCACATTTCTTTTAGGGATAATGAGTAGCTATTTTGAAACCAATTTCAATAAGAAACTTTTTTCCCTTTTATTTTCAAGGGGACTTTGGCCATCTTGCAGTAATGTTGGTGATCTATAGAATGACATCTGTTGACTTCAAAGATAAAAGTCCAATCTATGTGCATCTAAGGCCTAGTCTATACTGGGGATTTCAGCAGTCAGTAACCAGCCGCTGGTGTACAGAAATCTAGTGTAGATCACTATAAGGGTTTGCGTGGGTGTCTCTGTAATTCAAATGATTAGGTCAGATATATTGGAGGCTGAAATCGAAACAGATATTCTATGCTAATGAGGCATCTGTAAAATCTGAGAGCATTTAGCCTGTTAGCCTTTGGGTACAACAAGCCCACCTTTCTCAGACCATACAAAACCATGCTGCTTTGTGACTGTTCAGTGATGTCTCTTGCAGGTGATGAAGACCTACCACATGTACAATGCTGACAGCATCAGCGCTCAGAGCAAACTGAAAGAGGCAGAAAAACAGGAAGAGAAGCAGATTGGGAAGTCGGTGAAGCAGGAGGACAAACAGACTCCGCGTTCCCCAGACTCGACTTCCAACGTTAGGTTTGAGGAGAAGCACGTCCGACGAAGCTCGGTGAAGAAAATTGAGAAAATGAAGGAGAAGGTACATGAGCAGTGGCATTGAGGAAACAAAATTGGTCTGGAGGAGAGCTGTGCATTTGTCACCAGTCACTGCTCAGATGTTTCTTGTTAGTGATACATAAATTGCAAACACTATATTAATGTGGGGTTACGGGTGCAGTGTTAGGAAATGCAAAGGTTAGCAACATGACTAACTTGGCTAGGAAGCAGGGCAACCAAATCTGGCAGTTATCTTCATTATACATAGAGGCCGAAACCTCTTTACTTGAAGTAAGGTGAGGAATGTCTTCTTTAAAAAGGCTGTTGGGCAGGTAATTGCCATCTCTTCAGTGTCAGTGGGGGTAGTAAGATGTGGAGCCAGATGGCTTTAAATGGACCACTGATGTTGCAGCAGCTGAGGGTCTGCCCTGTGGTATCTGGAGGCCCATGGGCACACATGGGGAGGTGTTGATTCTTAGCTCTTTCCTTAAGCAGTTTCTGATACTCTGGTAATCAAATTAAGTACACCGGAGAACTTGTCTGGAGGTTGCCTGAAGTGACATCTTGTTCATAAGTCACCCTACAACTTTGTAAGACCATCTAAGACTTCACTCCCTCGTCATTTGTGGGATGTAGGCAGGTAGGCCCCAAATAAAAGGTTTTCTGATGAACAATCTGTATGGGTTTAAATCGAGCCTTTGAATTTTGTAGGATGAGCTTCGTTCCCAAACAAGGGGAAGTGAGCATTCAGAGGAGAGAGATAATGGTTTTGAGTGCACAATTCATTGTTACCAAGAACTTTTTTTGAACTCTTTGCTTTCTTTTCAGCGCCAAGCAAAATATACTGAAAATAAACTGAAAGCCATTAAAGCGAGAAATGAGTATCTGCTGGCTCTGGAAGCTACCAATGCATCTGTGTTCAAGTATTACATCCACGACCTGTCTGATCTCATTGATGTAAGTGTGCTGCTACTTGGGCGCCTGTGTTGAATGTCGCTCCCATTAACCGCACTCTGTGCAGCTCCCTCTTTAACCCTTTTTGTGCTAGCGTTATTTGTAGTGCCTCTGCCATGGTGGCCTGTGGTGAAGCACAGACCAAGTCCTGAGCACTGTAGGTTGGGGAAATGTACCAGGTACAGCTGTAAGCAGGAAGTGGTTAAGGAGGCTTTTCATAAATAGTTGCTTGGCAAAGGGAGTATTAAAAAGAAGGGGAAGTTGTACAATGGGCAGGGAGTATAGAAATCTTCATAAAGAGGGAATGCTTCATCTGTTCGTTTTTATACGTACCATTGTAAGCAGATCCCCAAGATTGTAATTGAGACTTTTTTTTTTAAGGAAACTGTTTTGTAAAACCATAAAACAATTGGCAGAAGGACTCAAAAGGCAGACGTAGCTCCCTAAATGGCTTTTAACACATGATTTGAAATGCTCTAACTTTCAGATGTATGGTGTCTCTCTGTAGGCACATAGAGATATTGTAGAGCCATTCTCCTGTCTTCAGGACACCCCCCCCCCCATTGATTCAAATCCACACAGGCCTGCAGTGACAGAATGTTCCCAACAGCTGCTATTTGAACTATCTAATATAAGATTGCTGTTAAATCCACTCCCAGTGGCAAGGGTGGATGTGTCCCTGGCAGTCCCACCAATTCCCACCTCTAGCTCGATGGTTGTCTCCAAAGGATGAGGAAGGAAATGGTCTGTGGAAAAGGGGCTCTTCCATTCCCTAGGAAAGTCCCATCATTCTTTGGGTTGGGGCAGATGACGATAAAGCAGCACATATAGATAGTTGTCAGGCCATTGAATATTCTGTGTCTAAATAGAAGACTTGAATCTCTAGGGATGGCAATTTAGCATGTTTCTCTTAGTACTAAATTTATTTTATTAATGGTATAAACTGAATAAGTAACAGCAACTGAGGATCATCTCTGCCTTAACATTCACACTTGCTGGAAACTCAAACAAGCTGTTTTTGGAGTCTGAGGTGGTCCAGGGCTTATCTTCCTGCCAGCTACAGCCCAAATGCTCTTACACTGGTGGGAGAGCTGCAACCATCAGCTTAGTTCATCCACCTTGCAGAGAGGCAGTAGCTGTCAGTGCTTTCTGCAAGAGGGATTAAGTGGGTTTAACTCCCTTGCTCAGGGATGTGGATTTTTCACACTCCTGAGTGATGTCATTATGTAGTGTAGTGTAGCAGGTCCCAGTCTTTTAAAATTAGTGTTAATTGTTTTCCTGTAGTGTGTGAGTGCCCCTCCCTATCTCATAAAACTGACTCATTAGCTGCACTGAATTAGTTCTGCTCATCAAGTCATTGATTGCTGGTGGATCCCACTACGTTGCATTTCTTGATGACAGCTGTATGATGTCCCTGTAATAGAGGTTAAAATCATCTTTGCTGAGCCCTGGGGGAAATGGTTTGGAGGAAGGTAAGTGGGAGGGTGCAGGAGGTGGGGTGGGGGTTTGAACAAGAGAATTCATTCCTCATCTCTGATCACTCTCCACTGGTCATATATTGAACAGTAGTAAAGTAAGACTAGCTATGCACAGTGTGACAAAGTTCGATCTTTACTGTTCCTTCCTCCTAGGTTAAAACAGTTTTTTGTTTGGAGGTGCAGCTGTTGCTATGAAAAAGGAGGGCAGTCATGCTGTTTGATGCATCCTGGTAATGCTGTGTTACCTTTGGGACGTCGAGCATTTCCATTAGAACACCTGAACTTTTTAGGAAGTTGGACCTAACGCATGGACTTCAGTTTGTATTACGGCATCTTGATTGCATAGAAAACTAGAAGATTTAGCCGGGGTAGCTCAGATCTTTAACTCAGTGTTTTTTTTGTTTTTGTTTTTGGAAAACAAAATGAAAATGTCCTTGCTTGATTTGAATCCTTGCTTTGGGGTGGGGCTGGAGATGAGGGATTCAGTATGTAGGCTGCCCTGGGGAGAGAGGATTATCTCAGCTCTCCCTCACAGCAGCATCTTGGGGCCAGGTGAGAAGTGCTTCTCCATGGCTGCTGCAGCTCCAGTGGACACAGCTAGGGGAGGGTTGTATGTCCTACAGCTGGGGTCAGGTCCAGGTTTGTCTGCCCCCCGTGCTTCCCAGCCAGAGTAAGGAATGCAGCAAACTGTGCACTTTCTCCTAGCTCCCTGATGAAGGGGAACAGTGAGCAATGTTCCTGTACAAATTGGGAGCGGGGAGGGGGAAGAGCATCAGCCTCCCCCCAAACCCTCAGTAAAGGGTGCTTGGGGGTGGAAGGCTTGGCTGGGGCAGTCATGGGCAGGGGGTGCCCCCAGCAAGCGTCTTTAACCTGCTTGGTGATTCTGTCTTGTTTCTGTATGTTTTTCTGGACAACAATCCCATTCCAAGCACATCCCATCTTCCTGGCACAACCAAACCCTGACCTTGCTTTAAGTTCCGATGAGAGGAAGCTGTGTACCAAATTTGGTGATCCTAGCTCTCCCTGGTGAGGAGTTCTTGGACACATGGTCTCTCTCTCTCTCATATATATAGATATAGTAGACTACTACTTTCTGGGTGTTGCGTCTACAAACTAGGAGTTCTAAACAATGTTAAGGGAGTTAGACACCCAGTTCCTTTTAAAGTTCAATGAGTTTTGAACATCTAATTCTCTTCCTTATGAAACTTCCAGTTCTAATGTATAACACGTTTTTGGAAAGCATTCAGCCAACAGTGAGCCATATTCAAAAATCACACCGAGCCCTCTTACGTTTCCTTGATAGATCCTCAACTCTTCTTAAAATACCAAGGAGATTCCAAGGAGTTCAAGGGTAAGTATTGCAGTTCAATGGGCAGGACTCATCTTCCTAAGACAGCAGTTCCCAAACTTTTCCAGATGGGGACCCATTTTGACAATTCAGGAAGACTTGGTGACCCGAGGCAATTCAAAAACGGGGGGAGGAGAGAGGGCAGAGCCACCTGGGGAGACACTTGGCGACCCTTTGGAAATGTAATGGCAACCTATATTTGGGTCCCGACCCATAGATTGGGAAACCCTGCCCTAAGAGCAGTCCACTGCTGTACTGGCATAGCCGGCTCCAGTCTGTCTACAGGTACTGGAAAGAACAAAAGTTTCAGCTGTGCTTCATTTTTTGCTATTCCCTGATAGAATACAGTGGGTCACATGGCTACAGTTCTGATGATTTTCACTCAGTGAGGTAATTAGCCCTTTAGTTGCCTGATGAGGTGTGGAAAGTGCGTATTTAGTGTGTTCTGAGCATTCATCTGTAGATGGTCAAACGCTTTACAAGGACTGGGTAAACTGACATTTATCAGCTCCATTCAGAGTGGAATAAGACACACGAAGGGACTTGCTGGTTCATGAAGTGAGTCTGCGACAAAGCTGGAAATAGAGCTAAGTACTTCTGGTCTAACAATGACACTTTCTAAATTGCGACTCCTTAATCGGGAGACTTCAACCTAGCAATGGTAAAATGATACCTGTGGAGGGTCTGCTTCAAATACACACGGGATCTGAAAACCAACGCTTGAACACATCGCTAGAAATAGTGGTGAATTGTGACCAGTATGTTCTCCCAGACAAAATCAGTGTCTGTTTCCTGACTCATGACTGAGGCAGACCCTTAACATTAATGAAATTATTGCAGTAATGGAGAAGTTATTCCTAAGAGAAAAACTCTGTTTGAGATGCCTTTGAGACCCTTCTACAATCTGCATTTTCTCTCAAAAAAGCCAGTGGATCACTGAGGCTTGGGAGAAAATGGAGACAATGTATGGGTGAAGGTGTCTGACAGCCTGCTTTTAGAGTGGCATTACAATGCTGGGAATAAGAGCTCAAGTTTTTCCTTTTCGTTTGCCTTGCGTTTGTGCCCAAAATAACACAAGCTTCCTCCATTTCTCCCACTCCCCAAAAAAGAAACATACGAGTTTTAAAGCAATGTTTTTTTTTCCCTTGACTTTGTTCTGGTTTTATTTAACGGCTACTAGCTGGCAAAGGGTTAATCAGCTGTCGTGCTGAGAAATGAATTTGGATGAGCTATCATTAAATTCTTATAAAAAATTGATTTCCTTGGAGAATGTTTCCATCAAACATTTATATAACCCAGAAAAGGCCGGTGAGACTGACACACTTATAAATATGATATTCTGGACACTTTAAAATGTTAGTGACAGAGGGGGCTGAAAATATTCTCTGCCACCAGTGTCTGTAAAGGGAAGCTGAAGGAAGTTGCTGTGTTAATCTAAATGTCCTCGTTTCTCACAGAGGTGGGCTATGAAATATTAAATCTTATTTTACTCTCCAATCCCATAAAGGAATCTCTCTGGCATAAATCAGCCCTCCACCCAGATGCACATGTACTCTGGTGGAATTTGGAAAATGGGCATCAACACGGGAGATAAACATGGCTGTGTGTCTAGGCTGTGTGGCAGATTGACCCACATTTTATGCAAACTGAGTGTCAGTCTCTATAAACACTGTGAGCAGATCCACCTCCTTGGACTGTTGGACCAGCTGAAACTGACTTCGCTCAAATTTGGCTGCATGGAATTTTAATGTGCCTGCAGAGTAGCAATAGCTTGAATGACTCTTTACCAGACAATGCTCTTACACGTGCAAATTCCCCATCAAGCGGCTTTTGTTTCTGTTTTGGGGATTTTGTTCTTTCTGATTGAATTTTTAATTCTCAGTCTCCAGTTAAGCCAGCAAGTGCTGCTCATTGAGCAGAGTGTCACACCTGCTACGGGACACTGGCACAAAACCCGGGTGTGCAGTAGCATTCTGTGGCAGAACTCTTGTAAAAGCAGGGGCGGGGCAGGGTCTGTGTGGCTTTCTCTTTTTGAAGGCATTTACTTACAATAGTACAGTGATGAGACCCAAATGATGGGGGAGGAGGATAGGCTGTGATTTTTGCTTACAGAGCTGCATAACAATCAAGCAGATGGTCTCTTTCTTCTTGGATTGTCTCCTTGCATATTTAATTCCTGGAAGATGGACATTTTTCTAGCTCTATTGATTCTATATCTGTAAAATTCAGGCCATTGTTGATCAAGTAATGAAGAAAGCTTCTCTTCCTTATGAAATATTAGGAGTTGGCTGGGCAGGCAGGGTGCAGATGAAGCTGCCTGATTGGCTTGCAGTGATGTCATGCTAATGTTAGTAATACACAGTACTGTAAATGTTTGACTGTGACCACCTTTTTCCTGGTGGCTTTTGTTCACTGTCTCTCACCCTAGCAATGAAACCACCCCGAGTATGTGTTTTGAGGGGCACTGTTGCACTCCTGGCATGGCAGAAGTCACATTGCCTTTGTTACCCAGGGTATCTTGTGACTGCCAGAAGTGTGAAGCATTTATTCTCTGGCCCAGTTGGCCTTTAGATATTGGCATTTATTTGCCTAGCTATTGATTTGAGCATGTAAATGCAAAATTGGTCCATCCTCTTAAAGCACCTATCTATGAAAACTGGGCTTCCTGGCACT